GCCGGGCAACAAGTAAAAAAAAACATGGATGTCTAAATATACACTTAGAATGAAAGTTTCTTTTTCACCCTACCTACAAGGCAAGTATGAATTCTGAAAGTTCATTTTTGCAGCGTACAATCTTGGCTTGAAAAACAACCGGCAAACGTTATGGCAGATCTTTTTTTTTTTTTTTAAGTCGTGCTTCTTTTCAATTACACACCGCGTGTATTTTTATATGGATGGCAAAGTAAGACTAAACAAAGTGAACATTTAAAATGCATTGTAAAGAATTCTATATTTCATTTGTAATTCAACTGTGTTAGTCGCATGCGCATTATTGTCACGGTCATGAAGACTTGGAAATCCCAAAAGTGTTTTATCCAAAGCACTTTAGACAACATAATACCTCGGAATGAAAATGATATGGCATAATAATGAGGATTTGAGGAGTACATAAACATCGTCAAATCAGATGAAAAGCTTGACCTCAATTGTACGAAAATGGCAATGTCTGTAATATTATGATTTATTTGAACGTTGTAAACAAAACAAAGCCGTTAGCGAAAGAGGTCGATCACTTTTTTTTAAAGAAGCGTTGAACTTTCCTTCACAGTTCTATCTTTCTAACTCATTTCTGTCAGTATAGAAAACAGCAGCAACGGATATTTTTTTATCGTGTTCGAGAGTGACATTAAACGGCAGGCAATGTAAAAAAAACAAAAAACAAAAAAACAATCGTTTTTAGCACATACTGTCTTCATGTTGTTGAGACATGTATTTGTATAGTGTCGAATTAAAAACAACAACAACAAGAAATGAAGAAACAAATTTAAAATAAACAGCAAACAGACAAACATTCGAAATTTGTTTATCTTGACGTTGACTTTGTTGTTGTTGTCATTCAAGCTATTTTTTATTTTTTTAAATTCTCTTCAACTATTTTTTTTAGAACTGACAGCACTCTTTGTTGTAATTCATTCCGAATATTGTTACTTTCCAGCCTTGAAAACTTTAGTGCCTTATTCTACACATTAAATTTTCAAACTTTCAGACCTTAGAGTTTTATGTTGTAATGTCAGAGAGTCACATTTACTTTCCATTTTCAATGCTTTTAGCATTGCTTATTGCCGTTAAAAGTTACATTATAATTCCCAATCAGGAAAATAATTTGACTCTCACTGTTTTGTAAAATGCATACATGACATTTTGACTGTACTCATTTTTTAGCGTGCCTTCATTTTTATTTTACAAAATAAACACTGCCCAAGTTACATCTTGAACGATCTTTGTCGTCATTATAAACATTACGAGTTGATTTGAGCTTTGTAATCTTTTACGTGTCTTGTTTTTCAGTAAACTATACAGGAAACGTAAAACATGTTTGTTTCAGGGCCCTCATTAGCACTATTTGATTCAAGCGGTGGGCTGCTTTGAATCTTCCTTTCACAATCAACCACTGCTGCTATACAATATAGAAAGACTGGTGTTTGAAATTCTCGATGAAATAAACTCTCCACTTAGGAACTGAACTCACTGATTCAGCGCACAGCGGCGAAGATCCTAATCATCACAGCAAAGGGCGACACACCTTGTGTCGTTGGCAGGCTATTAAACTGCTTCAAGCCCAAAAGGCATTTTTTTTTCAGAAAAGAGATATTTAAGAAAGTGTTTAGATCTAATTCTTTAAACAATTCCGCCTACAATATGTATCTTTTTTCAACATTTAGAATTTGAATTTTGGCAAAGTTTTATCTTCAACATTATGCCACCGATACAATAGATATAGACGGGCTGGCAAACATAAAAGGAGAAGAGATGAGGGGAGGGGGCAGGCAGAGAGAGAGAGAGAGAGAGAGAAAGAGAGAGATATGGGGGGGAGGGGAAGAGACAAACAGATGGACAAAGGCGGAGAGAGTGTGGGGAGGGGAGAGCGTGGGGGCTCAGATTTGTGTAAAGAACGCGCTGAAAAGACTTGTCTTGTAGAGTAGATTGAGACTGAATGAAAGCAAATAGGCATATACACCTGTCGGACACCATTTTGAGGTACAACACATTTTCTGATGGAATACACAGCCCCGCACACTGAAGTCTTAGCATCTGTGGTGCAGAAGTAAGGCGCTTCACCGTTGCACTCAAAAGACGTGAGGTCGGTTCCAGAGTAGGGTGGGGTTTTTTGTGTTGTTGTTGTTGTTGTTTTTAATCAAGTATTCCTTGTTTTCTGAAACATTGTGTCCCCGTCTAAGCTTGAGTTGGCACTGGCAAGCAAGGCCGAAATAGCCCATCTCCTTTATTACCTAAATTAGTATTTATTTGAAAATATGACACCTACAACAGGAGTCTCAAACGCGCTGCCCGAAGTCCAATTGGAACCTGCTGGATGATATTTTGCGAATCGAAATTAGACAGAAAAAGTTAGGCTACTGCTAAAGCGGCTTTGTAGAGGGAGCACTGCCATGCAAAGTGTCCGCACCAAGGAGTAACAAAGAGAAGCCTGTGCTCTAGAGAACTGTTCATGTTCCGAACCACTATTAATAAAAATTTATATATTTTTGAAAATACTTTATTGCTATCAGCTTTGCTTGGCTTTTAAGAAAATATTCTTTTTTTAAAAGTAATAATACTTGATGCAGCCCAAGCTCATCTAGAATTTATCTCCAGCGACCCCATGGTTAATAGAGATTGAGTCTCCTGATCTACACAAAAATATTTTGCTACCTTAGAATTACTAAGTTCTTTCTACTCAGTACTTAGTTTCGAGAAATTATTACAACATTTCAAGCTTTTTCGAATGCAATTCTGTGAATAGCTTGATAAGCTTACCGTATAGATAGAGCAGATAGTACATTTGGTTTCTGAGTTCAAAGTAACAGAAACTCAAAACGGTCAAAATGATTTTTGAGGTAGCTATTTACAATGGAAGGGAGCAAGTGTAAAACAGAATAAGTTTGGGGGTTGTTGCTTTTTTTTTTTCAATCAGAACGGCACCTGCAAAATGTCCCATGATAGCAAATTTTTATCAAGTTAAGAACAAGTCAAGTCCATCATAAAAATGTTTGCAATGGATAAAATAAATCATTTATTGTGACTTTGTCTGCTTGGTACTTGATCTTCCAACAAGAACCAATGAACCATTCTGCTGTCGGATCAACTGACAAGGTACAAGGGATGTAATCGTGTAACATAACTCACAACGCCTAAAACTAGAGACAATTGTGCAGTTATCTTCCTTGTTCTGACACAGGGAGACCAGTGCCTGTACATAGATCAAAGAGGTTACATAATAATTATAGTAACGTTTTTGCCACAGGACCATACTAGGTAATCGCTTCGTTACTCTAGAATTACAAAGTTCTATCTGCTTATTGCCTAGCTTAGAGAAATTTGACGTTAAAAATTTTTGAGTTTCACAACATGTCAAGCTTTTTCGAGTGCAATTCTTTGAATATCTCTATATATATATATATATATATAATATTATATATATAGGTACATATATAATATTATATATATATATATATATATATATATATATATATATATATATATATATACATATATTATACAGATGCACACACAGCTCTGCACGTTATCATCCTATCCACCAAGAAAGCCAAGAAAACAAAAGCCACTTGTCAGTCGTAAAATGCACAGGTCAACTTTTAGTGATAAATTAATAAATTAGATTCCTTTTTCAAGTCTGCCAAAAGCGCAAAATAAGTTTTCTTTTTGCCTCTTCTTTCTCACGAAAAGTGCGAAAGTCGTTAAATCAACTAGTCTTAAACAAAAAGTGTGACGACAATGCTGTCATTTTTAACTTTACTTAACCCTTGAATAGCAATTTTGCGCTTTACGCTGTTTTGATTTTTTAAAAAGAATTTTACGATGATCTGGTGACATAGCAGCCGTGTTTTATTTTAATATAATGCGTCATTTCAAGCTTCAGACTGAATGTTTAAAAAGGCGAAGACTGAAAGAACTATGCCTAAGAAAAACACATAATATCAAAGCTCAAACGTGTTAATTTTGTAAATATACATTACCGCATTTCAAGCTACAGACTGGATAAAGAAGACTGGAGCCGAACTTACTCTGACTTAAAAAAATACCCATAAATCAAGCAGCAATGGTTAAAAAGCTTTGAGTTAAATTGCTTTGTGGTAAGTATTTCTCCAAATTGCAGGAAATTACGCATTGGGGCGATTAGCACACCGTGAAAAGTTGTTATTGATTGACCTCTCCATCCTGGCAATTGATCTCATTGACTAGATGGAAAAGGAACTATTAACTGGGGAAAGTAGGCTGTCATACTCCAACAAAAGCAAACAAATCCACCTTAAGTGTCAAATTACCGCACAAGTGTAATGGAAATTTAAAAAAAAACTATTTGAAGATCATAACGGTTTAAGTGGAGTATCGAAAGTATACTTTTGCTCGGTAAATATCATAACGCTTCCTGGTCGTACCTTATGGGGTAAAGGAGAAAACATCATTAATTTTGTTTGCAGATGCTATATTTTATTCAACTTCCAATCGCAATTATACAGAAAGGCAGATAGATAAAGAAAGAAAGAGAGAGAGATAGAGAAAGAAAATGACAGGAAGAAAAGAGAAAAGAGTAATAACCAGTTTTTGCCTTCATCACGATATTGATTAAGAATAAAAAGAAGCAAAATTAAATATCATAATCAAAACAGCAGAAATCAGTTTCGTACTTAATCTTTTCAGTGGTATAATTGGTGAGTAAATCATGAAATCTCTTATTTCATCGGGACGATCAGCGTATTAAAATAGCATTAATCATAATTAACGACTAATCCCATTGCGTAGCAATAAATATAAAATTGTCACAAATTGTTGTATTTACGATAAAGTGAGTGAAAGAGACAATTATTTTGACAACTGCTCGAGGTGAACTTTGTTCGTGAGGGTGCTTTGGTGGCAATCAAAAAGGAAACCCAGCCATCTACGAGTCTAAGACCCAGAATATCTGTAAAGCTGAATAATAAAAGACTTACACAATGGGTGATGGTATTGTAATATTGCAAGCATCCCAGGGTCCCAGAATGCACAGGTCTGCCCAGGAGACGAACAATGAGACTATCTCTCCCAAAGAAAACGACACAGAGTTGATGACGCCATCCTCCTCTGGGCAGTTCCCTGTTCTGATCAGCGACGAGGACCGAGCGATTTTCCAAGTGGTCAATTTTGTGGCTCTCTGCGGTGTGATCAGTTTGTTCGGCGTGGGGTCCAACCTGGTCAACATTGCTGTGTTTGCCAAGCAGGGGTTCCAAGACAGCATGAACATTAGTCTTTTGGGTGAGGACACAGTGTGAACATTAGTCTAATGGGTAAGATAACATTGTGAACATTAGTCTAAGAGTGAGGAGACAGTGTGAACATTAGTCTAATGCGTGAGGAGGCAGCATGAACATTAGTCTTATGGGTGAGAGACAGTAAGAACATTTAGTCTAATGGCTGAAATGACAGTGTGAACATTAGTCTAATGGGTGAGGAGACTGTTGTGTGAACATCAGACTAATGGGTGAGATGACAGTAGTGTGAACATTAGTCTAATGGGTGAGGTGACCGTGTGATAGTCTATTGGGTGAGGAATCAGTGTGAACAGTAGTCTAAGGGGTGAAGAGACGGTGTGAAGATTAGTCTATTGGTTGAGAAGACAGTAGGAACGGGCAAGGGTAGTTGGCAAGGGCTCTGGTGTAACTTGTTCCTTCTTTCCTATCGAACATCTATCGTTCTTATCCTCCTCTATCGTTTTTGTGTTTGTTACACTCTTTTGATACCTCCGGTCTTCAGCACTTGTATGATGTAATTGTGTTGCAACGATCGTAAAACGTTTAATAAAACCAAGCCAAACGCCATGTGAATACTAGTCTAATGGGTGAGTCGACAATGTGAATATTAGTCTAAAGGGTGATGAGCTGGTGAACATTAGTCTAATGGGCGAGATGGCAGTAGTATGAACATTAGTCTTATGGGTGAAGAGACATTAGTCTAATGTGTGATTAGGCAGCATGACCATTAGTCTAATGGGTGATGAGACAATGTGAAAATTAGTCTAATGGGCGAGATGACAATAGTATGAACATTAGTCTATTGGGTGAGAAGACAGTGTGAACATTAGTCTAATGGGCGAGATAACAGTAGTGTGAACATTAGTCTAATGTGTGAGGAGACAATGTGAACATTAGTCTAATGTGTGAGGAGACAATGTGAACATTAGTCTAAGGGGTAAGATAACAATGTGAACATTAGTCTAATGGGCGAAAAGACAATGGGAACAATAGTCTACTGGGTGAAGAGACAGTGTGAACATTAGTCTAATGGGTAAGATAACAATGTGAACATTAGTCTAATGGGCGAAGAGACAATGTGAACAACAGTCTATTGGGTGAAGAGACAGTGTGAACATTAGTGTAATGGAGAAGGAGGCAATGGGAGCGTGAATGAGTGGTTGGTACGAGGCTGTGGTGTGATTTGCTCCTTTTTTCCTATACCACATCTATCGTTCTTATCCCTCCTCTTTCTTTTTTGTGTTTATTACACTCTTTTAATACCTCCAATCTTTGGCACTTTTATGATATATTCGAGTTGCAACGGTCGTAAAACGCTGACTAAAGCTAAACCAAAAACGATGTGAACATTAATCTCATGGGAGAGGAGACAGCATGAACATTACGCTACCTCAGATTCACAAAGTTCTATTTGACATTTTCAGCCGTTTTGAATTAGTAAGACCATGAGATCACAAAACAAATGCTTTATCTGCTCTATCAAAATCGTAAGGTTATTCTGAGTCGTAAACAAGATAATTCTTTGAATTGCATTCGAAAAAGTTTGACATAATATGGTTTCACTCAAATTTTTCTTACGTCTAAATTCTAAAATCTAGATACCGAGCAGATAGAACTTTGTAATTTTAAGGTAGCAATTAGTTTTATAGGTGAGGAGATAGGGTGAATATTAGTCTTATGAGAGAGCAGGCAGAGTGAACATAGTCTTATGAAAGAAAAAGGCAGTATGAACGTTGGTCTTATGAACATCAGTTGTATGGGAGATAAAAACTTTTCTTAAATGTAAATGAGATCATTAATCTATTTTGCGGGTCTCGATCCTGTCTGTGGAGGTCAATCTCTCCGCAAAGAGACCAGGATACTCGATAAAAAAATTCTCCTACTCGGGAATCGAACGCGCGTCTCCTGTGTGCAACAGCGAATCGCAATAACCGTTACACCACAGACTCTGGTCTGGGTAAGAAGTGTTAACGTTAGCCTTATGAATAAAAAAAGGACAACGTTCACATTCGTCTAACGTGTGTGAAATTTCATAAACATTAGTCGTAACAATGAGAAAAATGTGGAATATAAAGTTACAAGAACTCCAGCCCCAAAACAAAATAATTCCTAGACGGGCTTATGAAGATATTATTATTATTAGTATTAT